CAGGCACTGAAGTTAACCACAGACCTAAACACCCACAGTCATTCACAGTCCACAGTATCATATTAAATAAAACCAGCAAGTCTGTTTTTACTGACTGTTCAAGTGTCCCAGCATCGGTCTAGCTGAGGATTCATTGTAACTGGAATAGGGACATATTTCTGTGGAACAAATGTTTCCAAGCTCCTAAAATAGACTACGGTTAAACTGTGTTCCACATCAAATGGGGTTTCTTTCCTGGTCATATGTCACACCAAGCTATGACTGGCCCAACAACGACCTGCTCGCAGCCGAACGGTCTATTTCAAGAGAAGTCACATGGATGGCCCAAAGGCCCTTCCCAGACAGGAGTGACAAGCCTGGAGAGAAGAGGGCAAGCCACTGAAACCATGGGACGGCAGGCTCAAATACAGCATATTCTACTTAATCAGGGTATGCTTAATGGAGAAATTCATTCCAATTCCCTTGGATTATCTTCTAAGGAAAAGCTTTAAGAACAACATGCTTTATGGCAACAACTGCCACTTAACAGAGTTAGCAATTCTTGTTTTCTGTTTATATATTCAGGAGACTTTGTAGGGCTCAGGTCTCACATAAATTTGAAGCTTGTGCCAGTTTTGTATGTCTGAACACAGATCAGCTATGCAGCCACTGCCAGTTCCCAGCCGTGACTTTGTTCCTCTGATGTTGAGTCAGCACATTTACCAGCAGCACTGCCCCCCAAGCAGGCAGAGCTTCTTCCTGAGCCTGCAATTCTCCCAGGCTTGGGTTAGCAGGGTTCACCATGCAAATGCAACGAAGGACTGTCACTGCAGAACAGCAGGGCAACAGAAATGTCAAAGACATGGCCTTGGCCCTGAACATGCTCTGCATCATAAGTATTTGGTTTGCAAGGAGAGTCACCATTTCCTCCAGCCCATCCCAGAAATACCAGATTTAGCACAATCCATGTTAGTGTGGCAGAGGCAGCCTATTTCTAAAACAAGTTGAAACATACTTTACAAGAAGTGATTTCTGTCTTCCCTTCCGCTGCTTCCAAAACATTTCATAAACTGCTAGCACTTGGGAAAGGAGATTATAGGAAAAGCTTTCCATGTTTAGGGGGAGAGAATAAAACCAGAACAATACAGGCGTGTCCTTAACTAAGGAGACCTATGGCTTAACACAGAGTTGAGTAACTGTTTGAGGTAGTTCCATTCTATTAATAATATTCTCAGTACCCCACTGTTATCCAGTATGCCTTTGCTAGAATTTTTCTATTTTTCTACTTTTACTATTGCCTTCTAGTATTGCTTCCATACCTTGTCAGAACTTCGACTTTTATCTAAAAACATTGCCTCCATCATGTTCTCAAATATACATCAGGCCTTTGTCTTGAAACCCATATTTTAACCTCTCCAGACGTAGGTTTTGCAGTAGTAGAGAAAGTGAGAAGAAGAAGGCAGGTGATGGTGAAAGCCCCTGTCTGTCCCTGCTTCTCTCTGGCCAAGGGGTCTGCTGTGCCATATGATGTAGAGCAGTCATGCTGCTACGAAAGACTCCAGAACCAGCCCTCCCTCTTCCACATCACAGACATGTCTGCCCTGAGGGTGGTCACCCCATGGGTAAGCGTAATATGTAATATGTAACTCTGACTGCCAAGAGGAAATGAATTTGAAGCTTGGCTTTGTGCTAGGTAAAGCACGTCCATATGGACAGACATGGACATAGCACAGAACTTCCAGTATAACTCCTGAGCTTCTTAACCTAGTGGTTACCCATGAAATCAGAGTGCACAGAGAGCCATGCGGTTGTCATATTCATGAACATCATTAGCTGTCACATACCTGTCAGCTTTTTTCCCTTATTCTTGTAGTACACGATGAAGATGACAATGCCAACTAGTGTCACGAAAACCAAGATGACAATCAACACGTATAAGATCTTGCTTGTTCCTGCAGGATGTAAAAAAGATAGTGCCATCAACATGCAGCTTGTACTCAGCAGTATGAAAATCCTTGCTCATTTTATCTGCTTTTCTACAGGAGAGGGTTTTTCTTCCTTACTGCTTGATTTTTAGTTCCGATAAATGGCTCTAGCACTCATGCAGTTCTGTGACAAGCAGCCTTACTGAAGGTACCTGGTACCAAGACATCTCCATAAAAAGCAGTCTTGGTGTTGCAGAGGGGTGTGATCTGGTCATGCCAGCAGACCACGGGCTATGCTTGATCTCACTCAGGGGACAGAGGACACACATCTCATGGAGACTATAGAATTCAGCTGAAAAAATCTGCCCTTTATCTCAGGTTATGCTGGATCACTGCATGCCAGGCAAGCAGCCTCCCTGGTACCATATCCACACTGGAGAAGGAAATGGGCAGTATGCAAGAAGGGGTAACTGAGAGGGCTTCAGCTGAGACTGTATTCATTGCTATAAAATAAGCATGGAGAGCAGCTGCTAGTCTTTATACTGTGTGTATGGAAATCAGAAGGCTGAAAAAATGAACAAACTATAAATGCGATTGCAGTCATGGGTTTAACAGCAATATTGCTTGCCATGCAGTTTTAGTGGGAGGTGTAAAACTCAGCTTACTAAGGGACATAGGCTCTAGAGTCTCAATGTAATTTTTAAAGGTGGGATTTTCCAAGAGCACTGTCTTGGTCTACAGCTGCTCTCCCCAGAGTCACCTACAATGGGAACGGATTCAAAACCCCTAGTTATCCCTCCTCCTTCCCACTACTTTCAAACTATCTGCACAAAGACACATACCATCTTCTGATGGCCTGGGCCTCTTCCACTCTGCGCAAACTGCATCGGACTTGTCAGTCCCAGGCATGATTTCCTTCATTCCTAAAGCTGTACAGCTGAAATAGAAAGACAAAGAGGCTAAGTTCTCTAGAGGAAGCTTGTCATGGCTCCTACACTTGTGCACAGAAGTACCTTCTATTGTATGGCACAACCCTTAAGAACCTTGGGTGCTTTCATTATTTTTGGCTGTGCCAGCTCAGCAGTTCTGTTGTTGTTATTGCTCTCTCTTGCTCTCCCCTGAGGTGAATTCAAGCTTCAGCATGAGAATACCTTCACTGCTGCACTCTGCAGGCAGCCTGGAACACCTCACTGAGAAATGGCCAAGCTTCTCCCTGCCTTCTGTCTGGAGTGGTCCTTTTACAAGACAGAGGGACTTACTTGGTCCAGGATTTACACTCATCAGTGGATGAAGAGACCTTCGAGAAGTAGCCTCTGGGGCATGGTATACACGTTGTATCCTTGTCTTGTTGCACTGTGTAGAGTAAAGAAAGAAAAACTTCACAGCTGCGTTTCTGTGGGCTCCTTTCAAGCAAGAGGAAGGTGACTATGATCCCCATCCTCCTGCTCCACTCTCCCCCCACAATCCTCATGAAAGCATTCTTGAAGAGAGAAGGATCTTAGATTACATTCGAGCAGCAACGACAGTCATATGTAAGCAGCAAAAAGGATCCTAGTCTCACCTGAGCACTTCTCTACATGATAAAAATGTGAAATGACCAGGAACCATTTGCAGTTATTGTAAAATAACACACAGCTGTTACATCCTTCCCCTTCTATTAATTCCCTCATGTTGATGCTTTGCCACAGTGACACTGACTGGTGTTGTCACTTCTAGGAAGCCACAGTAAACAAAATGCTGTATCAGGATTTGCTAGGCTGGAGAAAAAAACAGCAAAAAAACCTTACTGAAGGTACCTGGTACCAAGACATCTCCATAAAAAGCAGTCTTGGTGTTGCAGAGGGGTGTGATCTGGTCATGCCAGCAGACCACGGGCTATGCTTGATCTCACTCAGGGGACAGAGGACACACATCTCATGGAGACTATAGAATTCAGCTGAAAAAATCGGCCCATGCAGCATTTCTTCCTCCATTACTTTATTATGTGCTGCTTTTTTGGGGTTCCTTATGTGCAGCTGTTCCCAGTGTTCACTACAACTCTGAACTTGACTATCTACTTTCCATCCACAAAATACTTGCACTTTGTTTTCAACCAGACTTTAGGGTAGATTAAATGTCTGTAATAAATTGTCGCATTACTAATCACTGAAACAGAAGACATGCTAAAACAGAATATGTGCACTACCTGAAAGGTCTTAATCACTTTTGACTTCCTTATAACATTTTAAAATGACAAAGCAAAGTCACTGGACAAAACAGATTGCAAATCTAACCTCAGGAACAATCCCCAAAGTGCTTTTCTGAATACTGGAGCAATGCATGACCTAGTGAGTCACAGTCAGACACCTCAGCAAACATTAGAAATGCACTGAACACCTTGCAACTACTGCCTTGTCCACATAACACCTTGCAAAAGTTGCTTGATCCAAGGTGCTATTTAAAGTACAGAGGTAGAAGCCTTCAAAATGTAAATAGTCCAGGAGGATTATATGCAGTAGTAATGACAACTCAAATATGCATCTTCTGTTGACAGTTGTCTGAGAGTCTAAAGTATCCTTTTTAAAGTCACGACCCACATGATGCTGGCCTCATCCTGTGGGTCTGACCTGGACATTTCACTTCGTACATCCCCTCTCTGTGTCTTACCAGGAGGCTTGACTCCAAGTCCTGGAGCACACATGGTATTCCGCTGACAGCAGTCGCAGTCTTCATTCCAGTGGTAGCCCACTGTACAAGCACACTGCCGTTGGAACGTGCTGTTCCCTGGGTTCACTTCTCTCAAAGCCTTCCCTAGAAGAGAATGCAGATGGGAGTAATAATATCTCTGTTTAATAAGCCTTGAGTTTCTGAACCTCCCGTTCTACCTATCTGCTTTGCTTGAATGACAGATGCAAACCCATACATGTTAGATGAACTGGTGACTTTCAGGGAGTGTGGGAGACCCTTGATCAGCACGGGACTCCTCACCACTCCTGAACAATACTTCTCCTTGTAGCTGCTGTAGAAAATAAACAGAGCTTTTTCAAGGGTGAGACAAACACATTAGGGGAAGTGAACACACAGTATTCTGGGCAAAAGGACAAGCTTTAAGATCAACTCACAGGAGTGAATGGCCCCAGTGAAGATAATCATTATCAGCAGCACAGAGACTATAGTCACAGTGCTCTGCACAGCACAGAATCTGCAGTCTGGGGACCTCCCTCTCCGCCAGGCTCTTCTGCAAGGCCAACCCAGTGTCGGGCACCTGAACAAAGCAACTTCCCTAGATCCACTTCACGCTTCACTAATATGGATTGATAGGTTCTGCAGTATGAGCAGCTCACCTTGATCACATATTTTATGTAGTAAGCATTTATCTTCTTCATTCCAGACATCCATATACTCGTTTGGGCCACATGGCTGGCACACGCTATCAGAAGTAGCAGTGCATCTAGCAGACAAATACTTTCCTGTGAATGAGAAAAGGACAAGGAGGTCATCTGGAAGCTGCACACCAGCTGTCCAAAGAATTTAGGGAAAATAGCAGGTTGGGCTAACACTGCTGTACCACTGTGGACAGTCATTTCCTCCCACACCTTTTCACACGTGCATGAGAATTGAGCTGCTTTCTATCTCCCACAGTGGTTAAGTGCTATCCTAACAAAATAGCTGCTGTGACTTTTGCTGAGGCCAGCAGGACCACTCCGGCACTAGAAGGCACTCGTAAGCCTGAAATCATGCACCTGTGAGGGCACGTGCCAACGGATTAGCAGAGTCACAAGAGCCAGCTGCCTCAGTGACCTGCAGAGCAGTTTCTAATGAGATTTTCAGCTGTGTGGCCAGTACAGCCCCATCAGCACTCACATACCTGGCTCACACTTTGTGCAGCACCGTCCAGAGTATTCATAGTGTTGTTCGCTTTCACACGGTGGAGTGATTTGTAGTGAAAACTGGAGCAGAGAAGGGAAGAGAGGACATGAAAATCAACACACCTGGAGAGCCTTCAGACCTACCTAGTCACAGTGCTGGCAGAGAGAAGGAAAACATTTCCTCTATATAGCATTTTGGATAGCTAAGCAGTAAAAAGTCACTCAACGTTTATGACTGCAAAGGCACTTTGTAGAAACACTAAGAATATGTACTTGATGCTGTACACATAGGGACTTGTAATAGAGCCAGGTGACAAACAAGTAACACATCTTCCAATTTGTCATGAACTTTTGGCCTGCTATATAACTTTTTCTTACAGTACTCTATTAGTTGAAATCTACCGTGTTAAAACAATTGTCAAGACAAAAAAAAAAAAAAGGCACAGAGATACTTCTGTTGTCTCTTCCACTAAAATGAGTTAAAGCCAAGGCAACTGACAGTTTTAATGTAAAGCATTAAGCAAACAAGCAAGGTGAATGATTTATATTCCTGAAAAAGAAGAAGTTCTCAGCTTCCCACTGGGATACACAACACTCCTGGCTAGTCCCAGAAAACACTGGACTTCAATTTTGCAGCTTTTTATGGCTCCCACCATGTCCTGCAGAGGTGGCCTCATGGAACTGAGGCAGTCATCCACAAAGGTGATGCAAGCAAGGCAACAGCTTTTTGTGTCTCCAAAAACCGAACCAAAACCAACACAAACCACTCCCCCAAACCACCTGAAACTGTTACATGGAAGAAGGCAGCAGTGCCTGCATCTGGCACTTACAGGCTTTTGCATCCACTCCCTGCCCTCACCTGTACGCACAGTGGTCCCACCGCCAGCCCAGCACACACGGCTGTCTCAGCCAGGCTTTGGGGCATGGCCTGTGCCAGCCAAGCACTGTGCCCAGCCACTTGCTCCCCCTGCTTTGGCTGCCCAGAGTCTTCCAGGCAAACTCAGCATCTTACAACTGGTTGTTGATCTTGCACTTGGTAAAGTGATTCAAAATCTAGCCCACAGCAAGGCTTCATTATTGGATGTAGTTGTTAAAATCTCACTTACTTGGAGAAAGCTGCAATACAGCTTTTGGTAGTGGCTAAAAGGAGCTTCTGCAATCTAATAGCATATGACAGCTCTGTGCCTACTGATACTGGTTTTCATTCCTCTGCTGAGCATTCTCCCCTTCCTTTCCCAAGTCTTTACATCTCCTCTTTCTGCCTTTTCTAGTTTAAGCAATAGTAATCTCTTTAAATAGAAAATTGTTTTCCTTAAGCACCTTGTTCTCTTCAAATGCTGGGAAGGGTCCTGTAAATTAAAGATGACCAAAAAAGGTTGAAATTTTTCTTTAAAACACCACCTTTTGGCTTGGAGTTTGAGCCATGGAGTTGGTCCATGACTAGTGTTTATCAAAACTGCACTAGCTGTGTCTGGAACTAAAAAGTAGAACAAATCAGAGGCCTTGAGTTTTTATATTTTTGCAGGTTATAAACAACTTGCAGCTTTTCTTTCACCATTACAACCCCAGATCAAATTAAGAGTCTAGTCTTGCAACCAGTCTTCTGTTGCCTCATCATTTCCTTGTCTCTTTCCTTGCACTCATTAACAGTAGCTTTCTGACTAATAGATTTTGATTTCTGGAACAAACATTGCATTCTGTGTTTGCACAGCACCTCCTAGGAGAGGCACAGGATAATGATCAGCGCTGGCAAGGCAAGAGGTGATCTAGGAAAAGGAAAGCTGGGCCAGCCTGGCAGCTGAACAGTGACACCGCTCAATGTCCCAGGGGAAACAGTGAAAACACCCCTGTACTCGAAAGAGCTCGTTTTCTGTAACACACTTCAGGCAGCGTCTGCTAATGCACTCAGCTGGCCAGCACGGACTGAGGGGACACTGCGGGACCAAGCAACTTGATTCCCTATCCAGCCATGCAAAAGTGTAACAGTGATGAGACCAACAGCAGGTCCAGTCACTCGCTTTTTGTCACAGAACGTCCTCTTCTTCCTCGTTTGCCCCAGTTTAATAGTTCCTCTTTAGACGAAAAGACTGAAAAATTACTGAAGTGTCAAACAAGGGCAGAGTCATCCTTTTTACGGAAGGATATGCAAATCTGCTAAGGAGCATTCAGCTAAAGGGTCTGGAGTAATTTCTGAGAATCACAACTCAGCCTAAGAAGAAGCAGCAGGGCCCTGGTAATGAGGTGAAGGTAGCCTAATTGCTAGACTACCTTTTGGAAATTGTTTCATACCCCCATGCTTTATCATATAATGAGGGTTGTTGTTATGGTATAGCTCACAGCTGCACCTGCATAAATCTATGCCCTATGTCAATAAGAGTCTCTTCTGTGACCATGTCCTTCCCCTTTTCACACAAGCCAACATATTCACAGAGCTGCAATACTGCCTCCTTTGATTTATGCCCAACAGGGTAAAGACAAGGCTCTCGGCACCCACGTCCTAACCCCCGTGTGAACCCAGACTCCTTGCAAAGGTGAGGGATTTTGGCCTGGTATAAACTGGCTGGACCTGCTGAGCATAAGAGCTGGGAGAAGAGAGGACAGGTAGGGAAACCAAAGCAACCTGGAGTTTTCTTAGAGTGGGAGCCAAACTCAGGGCCCTTTTGTTAACACAGCCCCATTGATGTCAGGCTACCCCTTGTTTATCCCTCTGCCAGGGGCTGCACGTCTGTCTCAAACTGTCCATCAGCTTGCTTTTGGGAGCTGAGAAGTACTTGTGCTGCTGAAAGCACGATGACCTGATGCTTCGCCATCACCAGCACATTCCCGCCAGCGTGTCCTTCTGAGACAGGGAAGTGCATTTCATTTTGCAGATGAGGAACTCACACCCAGAGGACAGCTGGCTTTACAGAGGTGACAGGAAACCAAACCAAGTCTCCCAAGTCTCAAGTTCAGTCCGCAACCCCTGGGAACATCCTTCCTCTCATCGGATGCTGTCCTGTGGGTCAGAGGGGTTTGGACACCATCAAGGTCTTATCAAGAAAGAGAAGGTGCCAACCTCCTCTGAAGTGCTTAAATGAGATAAAACCCAGCCTGGCCAGTCCTTTAATGGTCTCATGGTTGATAAAGTGGCCCATTAAATCCCACCACCATGTGCAAATAAGTGCTACAAAGGGCTCTAAGTATCCTGTGCAAATTGGATTTGTCACTTCAAAAGTGTGCAAAACATACAGATTTGGACCAGTTCCTAAAAACACAGGCAGCTTTCCCATTTGATTAACATTACCTCAGAACAAACATATCTGACAGGGGAAGAATGCAGGGGAAAAAAGACAAACCTCTTCCAGTCTTGGTGGATCCAGTTCAGTAAAACACCAACACCTGCTTACCTTGAAGCACACAAGTGGCACAATTGACTTAATTGGAAAATCAAGCATTCTCATGCCAAGGTTTGCATAAAGACTGTGTTTTGGTGTCGAGCTGCAGGCAGTCTTTTCAGTTTCAGGGGCTTTTTTCCTTGCCTGTTTGTTCAAAAGGACACTAAGCAAGAGTGTGCTTGTGCTTCTAGGGTCAGACAACATCGATGACAGCACTACAAAGCACCACTCAGACCTTAAAAAAACCCACCCACATAGGTGCTTCTGAAGGGGGAACCAGCAGCATTCAGACTCCTGTCCTCAGGCTTAAGGAAATATTTATCCTTTGTCCCGTTGAGCAATCGGACGGCAGCAGAAGCTGTGTGTCATGGATGCTAAAATTACTCTTCTCACTCTGCATTTGAGAAAAGATAGAGTTGCATGGGCCTCTTTCCTTTAAAACAAAAAATCTGGAAGAACAAGGTCGGGGGTTTCCACAGTCTTTTTCCCATGACACTTTTGAGCATGAACCTGAGGCCTCAATGAGGACTGCTCATTAGCATTAATCTTAGTTTTGCAAAAACTGAGATATAAAGAGACACATCAAGGGGTGATTATCTTTTAAGATGACACCTTCTTGCTCAGTGTAGTTGTTTTTGGAGAGTATTCAAGTCATCTGTCATCAATTCAGTGAGCAAAATATACTTTATTTCTCCATTTATTATTACAGCACCAAAGTACCTATGGGAAAGACAACTATGGTCTGTCCTGCCTTGCACACATCACTTGTCCTTTATACTTTGGAGCCTAGGTTTATCCAAACCACTTGCTGTTGAGGTCCTTAGACTTGCCTACCCTAGAACTAAAAAATTCCTGTGGATTTGGGGCTTTGTTTGTCTTTGCAAAGAGGACTGAGCTTTGAGCAACATTTCCTGAACTGAAGTAGCCCTTGCAAGCACAGCACCCTGGTATCCAGCTAAGACAGCCTCTGCAGTCATTTGCTGCTGCTTCTTCAAACATGAGCCACTGCCTCTCCTCTCACAGGCACCAACTGTGCACCCACAGCCTTCCAGCTTCCTACCTGATTTGGGTCAGCAGCATCACTAACCAAACCCCAGGTTTCTTCAGTCCACTGCAAGTTTCAGAGTCTTGCCTAAAAAATTATTTAAGAATAAAAATAGAATCTGATTCTTGATTGGTGCTGCTCCATGAACAACTGGAAAATTTTACAGCTGTGGGTTTATAAGGGGAAAGAGGAGTTCTATGTTAAAGACTTCATCATAATCACACTGATTGCTTTGCAGACAGTGTTCACTGTTGATAAGAATTCAATCAAAGCAGCACACAAGTCACAGCTTTGCAATTCCAGCTATTTGCTTGCAGGCCTCTAATTCATCACAAAAATCTTAGATTGTGAATGAAATGTTTTTGGTGATGTCAACTTTCCAGTGACCAGTAAACCACATCACAGAACTATCACCACGTGGTAACATAGAGCCGGGAAATGGCAACAGCTAAAACTAAATATTATTTCACTCTTAAAAATAGGCCCTTGAAACCCTGCTAGAGCCTGAATACCTAAAGAGGCCAGAAAGAACATGAAGGATAAAACCAATAATGAAGACGTCGAGAGAAAACTGCAGTGTACAAACAGGACAAGGGCAAATGGTGGCAAAAACCCAGTCTTGACTATTCCCCTTGTCCCTCTGTTTTAGCACACAGCAAAAAGCAAATACCTGAGCAACAGATGCTGCTCTGCTGATGGGAAGGACCATTCCTCAATCTCAAACCCACCAGAGCTATTTCTAGCCAGCAGGCTATGTGAAGGAGAAGTGCTGCACTGACCACTCCCACAGCAGGGTGGTGGGGGTAAGGCAGACAGGAACCTCAGGTATATCAGATGGGAGATGACAGAGGTGATTGATGGCAGGGCTGAAACAGCTATGAACTCAACCTGTGAATTGGCCAACTTGCTTCTATGGACTGAAGACTTGCCATCTCATGTAAAATGTTTGTCGTTCAAGGACAAAGACATCTTCATACAACAGTCAGAGGGGTACACCTAACATTTTCACTGACTGGGCAGTCAGTAGCACCTGCATGTTGCCTGCACTTTGGTGCAAAACCTCATGCTTTAACCTACATGTCCCCAGTACCACAGCAATTCAGAAAGACTAACAGCGACTAGGTAGAATATTTTGAAGATGAATCACAGTAAAAGCCCAAAAGCTAACCAAACTAAAATATTTAACAAAAAGGCTTGACAGCAAGACAAACAGCCCATAACAAGCAAAAATAAAGATTGCACAATAACAGCATTATCAAAGTTAATACCTAGGTGTGTTTGTGACAAGGCCTGCAAAGGCAAATCTCTTCTAGACTGAACAGGTGCAACAGCAGTGCTCCAAAGGAAAGCTTAGCAGCCTCATCGCTCCAGGTACAATCTCTATGACTCACCATGAGTAACTCTACATCCATTTGTGCTTAATTAAAATAATATTAATAAAAGGACATTTTAGACACAATGATCTAGGGAGAACATGCTTCTGTTGTGCTTTAGTTCAGCAGATCA